CTCGCTGTGGTGAGGCTGAACCTCGCCCCGGCTTCAGTTCAGTGGAGTTGAGGGGAGCACCGCACCGTAGTGATGACGAGGAATCAAGCCTGTGGCTCTTGTCCCAACGCACATGCAGTCTAGGGCTTCGAGCCTGCCACAGCATCCGCCAGCACAGCTCCCCCGGGGCACCAGTGCTGAATCCCGGGGAAGAAGATTCCCTCGGAGTTTCCTAGCAAGCCAGTGGGCTGAGGGACAGAGCCTGACAAGACAGGAGGTCAGGAATCAAAGCCTGCAAGGTTCATATCCTGTCTGAATCCCGATGATAGGGTTTTTCAAAATGATCATAAAATCGTAGAGCACTAGGGCTGGAAGGGCCCTCCAGAGATCACCTGGTGCAACCCCCTGCCTCAGGCCGATCATCGCTATCCCAACCACCCTATACCCTCCATAATCTAAACGACTTAAGAAGGCTGCCAGCCCTGACACAGCACAGACCTAACAAAACCTGATCTAGAAGCAGAAAATTCTTTTCCAACGAGTTTCCTTGCTCTGCATGTTGGACATGCCCCCAGACAAACAATGGCTTCAACAAAGAGAATTTTTCTCCAAAACTTGGAAACAGTTTTAAGAAAAATTACAACTATACAAAAAGTTAGGATTTAGCAACCCAAACAACACTGGGCTCCCCCTCCCTAGTCAGTTTACTTTAAAATCATGCTCCTGATGCTGAAATTACAACCGCACAGGAGGGCACAAAAATCTGTGGGCACTTATTTGAATTTGGGGTTGTGAGCAAATTTGGTGTCATTTGTGGTCTGCTGTCTAGGCTCTAACGAGATCTTTGCACAGGTTTGGGTACCAAGGAAAGCAGGAATTAATTAAGTACATTTTAAATCTTATTTTTTATGTCTCTCTTGGTCTGCAGTCCAAGACTAGGATTTGAATGTATCTTATGCTTTTGAGTACTTTGAGGGGAAGAAATTTGTTTCAGCTCTTTCAAAGATCAAAGCAGGATTTTTCAACAGTTGCCTCACTGATGCCCACAAGAATTAAAAGAGCCAGCAGAAGCATTCCCTTTCCCCCAAGTTTCCATGCTTTGCCATTTTGTTGAGTTTTCTCCATCTTTTTAAACATTTGGACCCTGATCCTGCAGCAATTCCATGAGGGGAAACCCTTATTCTTGAACAAGCTCTTTGAAGTCATTGGAGCCCTGCTTGAGCACATGGGACTTGTTCCATTAATGAGATCACAGAATCAAGACATTTGACTTGTAAACACTTTGGGACTCTCCACTGTGTAGCTCCTATAGGGCTGTGCACAATGTCAGGATGTCATACAGTTAGATATGATAGCTAATTATGCTTCTGTGGTATAGAAGAAATATTTAAATAATCCCAGAAGTAATTTTTTGTAAAGATGTATTGGAGCAAACCTCCCTTTAGGGGAAAAACTGAAACTGAATGTATGCTTTACTTTGTTAGGCTGAATTTTAAGGGATAACTTTTTCTTGCTCATTCCTTTCCTCTCTGCACTCACCAAAAACTCCAGAGCCTGCTATTGTTCATTGTATGGAAGGCTCTGCTTTCCCTTACATTTTCTCACAAGGAAAGGAGCCAACCACCAAGAGAAGTTTCAGGTGGCCCTGTCCTCATGTTTAAATCAACCTAACAAAATATACCATTTTCATTAAATGATTTCCTTTTGTTGGGCTTGCCTGAACTTTTCCTGGAAAAGATCAGAGCTTCCTGAGGGAGGCCAGACTTACAGTCTGGGGACAACTATATTAGAGTATCCACCCCTTTTCATAGTTAGGATAATATTTCCAAGAACTGAAGAGATGACGGAATTTGGGGTACCAGCCTCTGACCCTTTATTCGTATCAATAGTCTTCAGAGGTACTGCTCACCCAAATGAGCGAACAAACAGTTGCAAGACCGTCTTGCTGGGTTTTTTTTGGTTTAAATAGAGCTCATATGAAATTAAAATATAAAAAAAATGATGGTTTTAGCTTGATCCCTGGAGACCCAGTTCAAATTCCATCTGCTGCCTTTGAGACTAACCTTTTCCTTCTGCCAAGGAAAAGAAATTTGATTACATTAGGATGGATCAACATTGCCATCATGTGGCCAGTTGGATTAAAAGCAGGTGAATAGTGTCAATGGGCAAGAGCTGTTACGTCTGGTTTAATGGTGGATGTGAAATTCTACAACCCCAGTAAATTTCTGTGTTTGATTTATGACAGCAGAAAAGATGCTCTCTTTCTTTCCATCATAGTAACTTTTTCCTCATTATATGCAGAAGGGCAGACTAGGATTGTCAATTTTTTTCTATACAATTTTTTGGCACATTTTGCTTTGCCTTACCACTGTCAATGGTGGTTTGCCTGTGCTTAGCAGTAAGTTTTTGGAAGATCAGGTACTTTCAAACAAAACGTTTTGCTTATGTTCATGTAATAACTTATTTTAATTAAAAATAAGCACTAATATTTAATTCAGATCACTTCAAAATCAAAACATCTGAACAAGTTAAATTTCTGCTTTACTCAACACATCTTGCTTTTACCTAGACACTGGCAAACTATTATTTTGAAATTTGGGCCAGGTCTTGTATGCTCCCAAATTCCTGTTATATGCTTAAGGAATGAAGGATCAGACCAGATATGCATATGTGTTAGTGATGTTGGGTCAGAACCTCCGCCTCTGTGGCTCTAGAGACTTTAATGGTACATGTTACTCCAATTTACAGTAGCTGGTGATCTGGTCCCTGGGGTGTGTTAGGAGGAACTGGACTTGCTATGCTTACTGAAGATTGCTAGACAAAAATAGTTAAAGAACTTGGAGGACAGTGATGGGTTCATTCTTTCTGTTGTCCTGGGATGAGACTTAAAATGTTGCATCTAGCAAAAACTAAATCATTAGGTTCCGACCAGTGTGTCGCCTAAAGTATGGGCACTGAATTAAGTAAACAGGAAAAATGAGCATAAGCCAGAACATGTGGGTGCAGCTTTCTGGTCTTCTGTGTGCCTTCACAAGATGCAGAACATTAAGTCAAATTCTATATGGAATCAGACTTATGTGATGTAGCATCACCCATTTGTCCCTAGTCTCTCTCTGACAGTTGCTCTGGGCCTCGTCCTCTAATTAATGACATTGATGGAAATGATCAGAGTCATGAGGTCTTAAAGAGCAACCAGTCTGCCAAAGGGCATCTAGGAAGTCTGTACATTTTAAATTCATCACAGTAGATTAAGCCACTCTGCTCCCATTGGTTTTTATGGTAGTTGAGCTCTTTGGCTAAAGCTCATGCAGTACTTCGGAAATATATTGTGTTGTCACCTAAATGTACATGGGTATTTATAGGGCCTTATTCACTATTAACTTATACCAGTTTTACATCTGTAAACTCCACTGATTTTAGTTGAAATTACTCCTTATTTATGTGAGATAAGAATCACTTCCATATTATTACTGGTTGCAGTGAATAGTCTATAAAAGTGAAGGCAAGAGATCCTTCTCTCTGTAAGGCAGAAGGAAACCTGGTAGGCAGTGTGAGTATTACTGTCTCGAGAATCCTGAACATTTAGGAATCAAATCAGTAGGGCAAAGTATGGGATTTTTAAAGGATGTACAGTAGGTCACTATCTAAAGAAATACAGGACATACATATGATAAAAATGAGTAAGAAGGCTGAAACCAGAGGACTTCTTTGATGTCCCATAGTCTGTTATCAGTGAGAGGCAGATACGTAAACACATGACCATTATTACTAATTGCAAAATCAGCCTAAATGGCTTGTCTCTGTTGGAATTCTGTCTGCGGAATTTTTGAAGCTGCTGCACATGTTTTTGTAGCTGGTAGTATGTAAATCTTAGTGTTGCCACAACACCATTCAAATCCTTCACATGATATCAAACACATTTTACTCTGCCTTATATGTTTTATTCCATGTTGCAAGAGAAAGGAGGGTCAAACTCATCTTTCATAAAGAAATATTTTTTGGCATTCTGTAATAATTTTATTAAAAGGTGTAGGTGACATATTCTTAATATCTGGATGTGTTTACATGCTTTCCTTTACCAAAACCAACTGTTCTATATTAATTGCATGAATTGAAGATGCCCCAAATCTTTAAGAACTGATCCCAAGCACAGTGCATTATCATTCTTTTATTCATATCTAAGTGGCCTGTGCTCCCCAGTAGAGGTCCATTGGTACAGCTTGTTCAATTTATACCTACTTTGGGCCAGAATGGATTCCTACTGAAGCTAATAACAACATTTCTGTTTGTAGTAACTGCATGCTTTGCCTTTGAAAATCTGTTGATGGCTCAATTACTGTAAACTGAAATGTTATAATATGGCATGTAGCTAGATAGCTATTTGTTTCAGTTTTATGGCAATTTGCTTTGTATATCTTAAAGAAGCAAAGATATAAATCATTGTCCTTCATAGTGCTTGGGAAAAGAAGTACTTTATGAATGCTAGTCTTGAGCTCCCTCTCGCGTTTTACTGGAGAATGTCATGTTTTAAACAGAATGTCTTTTGATCAAGGTAATTCTAATTGGATGAAACAAACACATTAATTAACAGAATTAAAAGTATAGAATATTAAGATGACTGGATGATGGTAGTTTTAACTGTTAAAATTACATTCAATATACTTTTCCTCTCAAAAATCCAATCAAAGGACCAAATCTTGCTGTCAGTTACACTACTCTAAATACACTGCTACCCCATTGACTTCTGTGGCATTTCCCTATATGTGCAGTGATGTTCTTATGATGTCAAGTCTGAAAACTGTTGTTGAAGTTTCAGGCACTTGGAACTTAGCAAGAAGAGTTCAGTAACCTGCAGGATTGGACCATGGCTGTAGAATTTGGCCCAAAATGTCTGAATCATTTTTATGGAAGGACTCTGGAGGGACTAGTGTTTTAATGCAATCAGAATCTCTGTGAGTAAATATTTTTTAATTTATTTAAATCTGTTTACTAACTTTACTTTTTCCTTTATTCTTTTTCAGTTTTCTGCAATCATGGGTACTTTCCCAAGGACACTCCTGGGCCTGGGATGTATTCTAACAGGTAATATTCCCAAATCCCTGAGGTTTCTTAATTATTATTTCTTTATAAATCTGTGCTTAAATCAGTATTCAATAGTGGATTCCTCAAACAATTCTTTTCAATGTCATCTGTGGCAATGAACATCAAATGATCAGTCAATCTGCTATAAGTTCAATTTTTTCTCACATTCAATATGGTAAAACTAGACAAGAACAAATCCCAAGAATGGAATAAAATCTGTTGACAGGACAATATTCATAGGACCATAGCCTGGTGTCTTGTGTCAAGACCAGGTAAATGGATGGGATTCCCAGAAGCTCTAAGGTTGTCAGAGAAATGAAATCCACCATGCACTTACTGCTGTAGCCTTAGGGCTGTGGCACTCTCTAGCTCTCTCAAATAGGTGGATTGTGTGATTGCCAATGCACCAGCCTTCCCATGTTTTTCACAACAGATTTCCTCCAGCAGCATGGTGCAGGTTCCCAGAGTGGGCTCCTTGATTCTTTTCACTCTGCAGCACATAACCAGACCAGCTGCACTGCCTATCAGGCCTTCCATATCTGCAAAAGGAATGGGGTGGAAGACAAGGTTTGGTGCTAGGTTCTGAGAACAAAATAGCCAGTAGATCCCAATAATACATATACAAGCATCCATGCTTGTTTTGTTACCAAACAAGTATGGGTAACTGGTTTATTTTACAGAGCCTACCATTTTAGTCTGGGCTCAGTTTTCAGTTGCATGAAGTCTGCTTTGTGCTTGTCTCTTGGCAGTCATAAACAGTGTATCTCACTCCTTGATGATTTCTCCAGGTGTAGAATTGTAGGTGTGACTGCTCATACTTATACTGGGAATTAGACTGGCTTTTGGCCAGGCCAAACACAATGTCTGTGAATCAGAAAATCTGGTGCTGTAAATGCAGATTGCATATTAAAAAGCACTTCAGCTACAATATCCTATTTAATGAGTTACAATTATATTTGACTACAGACCTTCCTCACATTTTAACTAGAAGTGGGTCTGAGCCACAACACTTGGTTTTGGGTCTCTGCATTGCAGAAACAAAAACTAGTAGTAAAGTTTCGTTTATGGATTTAAAATAAAATGCTCCCGAAATTTGGGTCCATTTGGATCTGGGATTTTGGAAGCACTGTCTCTAATTTCAATTCCGTCTTTCACGTCTTGACACAAGTAGTACTGAACTAAAATAAATTGTATTTAATCTCCTCGGTTTCAAAGAGATGGTTTTGTGCTTTCTGTAGAGAAATGCTGTGATTTTTCAAAAAGGGCTCATTTCCAGGGGAAGCCACATAACTGAATCATTCATGAAAATTATTACAATACAGACAGATCATTCATTCTTTTCCACAGCTCTGTGGTGAGAATGTCTTGCCTAGTAACATGTTGCTTTTTACTTTCCCAGGACCATGGCTAACATTTTGCCAGCTTCCATTGCCAACTATATTTCCAAATAAAAATGAAATGGTTGTGCAGTTGAATTCTTCTTTCACCCTGAAATGCTCTGGGGACAGTGAAGTGAGCTGGCAATACCCTATGGCCGAAGAAAACCAGAAAATAGACATTAGACTTGAAGAGAACAACAGTGGCCTCTTTGTGACTGTGCTTGAAGTAGGAGATGCCTCAGCTGCTCTTACTGGATTATACACTTGTTATTACAATCATACCCAAGTGGAGGATGGTGAAATAGAGGGGACAGATATTTACATCTATGTACTTGGTGAGTGGATTATGCCATGTTTCCATTGAAAAATTCACCTGGATTGCTGTAACTTGTATATTGAGAAAGATATTGATAGTACTTTGATTGTTGATGGTACTTTGGCAGCAAGGTGACATGAAATACTATCAGGGGCCATTTTTAACATCTAAATTATAATTAACCTGTTTGCTTGGACTAGGTATATTAGAATACAAGACTTACTATGTTAGATCAGACTAAAGGTTCATCTGGCCAGGTATCCTGATTAGTAAGAACATTTTGCTGTATTGAAACATATGCTTGAGAAAAGTTTAAAAAAAGAAATGGCACTGCTGGACAGTCTTGTGAGAGACAAACAATGTTATGTTTCCACCTATAATTTCCTACAGTGCTTTGCAATTTTTATAGCATTTTTACAGTGTACTGCCTTCCCTGTCTCTAAACTGCCTTTCCTGCACAGTGGAAAATCTACTGGATCCACCGCCCCCAGCC